GTTTGGGATGGTTAACTGTAACACCAATGCATATTTTTGTTAGCGCATTTTGGGTAGGGATTCTTCACAAGATCTTAGCTTTGAAATTTCTGCAATAGAAAAGCCGCTTCGATTAAAAAATGTATATGGTGCTCGGCTGCTGAATTGACTATGGAAGGTTTAATCATGGCCACGGCGGTTGCACTTCATGGAGGTGAAATGCTAGAGGCCCGTGTACTGCGCAATGCGCGTGCACAATAAAAACACCAGATCGACGAAATTTCTGGAGCCCTCCACAATGGCATTCCTCATAATCATATTGTGGCTTTGGTATGTAAAATGTCATATTTATTTAGAAGGCTTTGCTGAACCTCAGTTTCGATTTTGCAATTCAAACATGCAAAAAATTCTAAAAACATTTGTTAGTGACAGCCATTTGAATTCGATATGCAAGTGTGTACACTTCTTTTTTATAGTACATCAAAACAGACCAAAATATGATTTTTTGCAAGCATCCTTAAAGGGCTAGTGACATCAAATTACAAGGCTATAAAAAGCCTGTAGTAGGTTTCCTCTGCATGCAAGAACACTTCTTTAAGGAGGCACATGGGTTTATAGCATATCTAATCTATTTTTGAATGGAATATGATAAGGGTTGGCATGCTTACTTAGTTTGTTCTCCTCATTCTAAAATGTGGTTACTTTTTCTGTAGCTCCATTAGTGCATCAAATAATCAAGATCACAATCTCTATTCTTCTTACCACAATAAAAAAATAACCACCAGTCAAAAGTTTACAAATGAGATAGGGATCAACAGTAGAAAGCATAAGACACAACATGGGAAGCACTTTTTTGATTCAGTCATCATTTCTTACATTACAGTACACTAAACTTCATATCTCTAAATGTGATGATGGTGTGGTCACACAAAAGACTAATTTTAAAAACTTGCATCAAGAGAAATTGAAATATGCTTCCTATGTTGTGTGCCCCGAACATACAGCTTCATGCTGCGAAAAGAATTATTCTGCTATCTTTAATAGTTTCGATATATTGCAGGAATTGTCAAGCAGGGTGTACAAATTGCCATTTTGAGAAAATCAAGAAAACAAAAAATTCTAACATTTTTAACTGTAAAAATGTATGTACTTTGAATTGCACAGTCACTAACATATATATAAATACTAGAATGCCTAAGGAGTGCGACGCTGCAAGCTGAGCGGATTGAACAAGTACTTCAAGAAGTACAGCACAGTAAAGTTCATTGAATGTAACCAAGAACAAAAAATTTTATATTAAAGTCTGCCGACAAGGCCGCTCTTCAGTTTGGTGATGGTACAGACGCCGATGTGCGACGAATCTGCACGCATCATCCACGGTCCGTCGAATGACAGAGCGATGCATTCTGGCTTGTCCAGAATGAGTTACACATAAATGTTGCGAACTGGACTTGTGCACTCACTCATCAATTTCGAGGCTACATCAACACAGAGATGTTAGTTTCCTTTTCACGTAAGACTGCCGCATTTTCGAGTGGATACCGCAACATCGTTGTGAACACGTCGTTAAAAGCATTCTACCTTTTGCCGGTAGCACCCATTTCACGGGGGCAGTGAGCACGTTCACTGCGAACAAATTCATTTTCTGTTGTTCGTCGTCGCGCGGCATACTCCACTCTGACGACCCGTCATGCAGTTCACACACAAACAAGGTCCTTTCGTCAGGCGGGTAGAGAACTGCGGCATCAGCGCGTTTAGCGATAAGACTGCACTTCCGTTCCGTCGCTGCAAAGGTCGATATCTCTCGTAATTTCACTTCTGTTTTTTACTTCATCATCATCATCAGCCTGACTACGTCCACTGCAGGACAAAGGCCTCTCCCATGATCCGCCAGTTAACCCGGTCCTGTGCTTGCTGCTGCCAATTTATACCCGCAAACTTCTTGATCTCATCTGCCCACCTAACCTTCTGTCTCCCCCTAACCCGCTTCCCTTCTCTGGGAATCCAGTTAGTTACCCTTAATGACCAGCGGTTATCCGGTCTACGCGTTACATGCCTGGCCCATGTCCATTTCCTCTTCTTTATTTCAACTATGATATCCTTAACCCCCGTTTGTCCCCTAATCCACTCTGCTCTCTTGTCTCTTAAGGTTACACCTACCATTTTTCTTTCCATTGCTCGCTGCGTCGTCCTCAATTTAAGCTGAACCCTCTTTGTCTCCAGGTTTCTGCTCCGTAGCTAAGTACCGGCAAGATACAGCTGTTATATACCTTCCTCTTGAGGGATAGTGGCAATCTACCTGTCATAAATTGAGAGTGCTTGCCGAATGTGCTCCACCCCATTCTTATTCTTCTAGTTACTTCAATCTCGTGGTTAGGCTCTGTGGTTATTACCTGCCCTAAGTAGACATAGTCTTTTACAACTTCAAGTGCACTACTACCTATCTCGAAGCGCTGCTCCTTTCCGAGGTTGTTGTACATTACTTTCGTTACTAAGGTACTACATATGCTAAGCGCAGGTTACTAAGGTATTCTCCATTAACTCTTATCCCTAACTGTTCCCATTCTAGGCTTTTGAAAACCTCCTGTGAGCACGCGGTAAATAGCATTGGGGAGATTGTGTCCCCCTGCCTTACACCCTTTTTTACTTGTCGTCCTCTAACTGATGAGACAAAACACTGCTGCTTTCAGTGACATTGTCGGCAACCGACAGGCTGTACGTGAGCTAGTACTACACCGGTGACTCGGCGACCGCCGTTGACCGCCACGAATCCGTTATCTTTGTTGTCCTGAGTCATAGCGGAGCTCTTTTTGAAGTTCACGGTGAACGAACGATCGCCACAGCTTCACGAAGTAGTGTGGCGCGGAACTTCTTTACTGCAGCAGGCAGTCGACAGCACCATGAAAAAATGGCGCATATTCGTGCGCGTCACGATGGTGAAGCAGATGCCGGAAATGCCACTAGGCCAATCAGTTGCCTCTGTTTTGTCACATGCCCCAAGCAGCCAATAGAATCGTATGCTGGTGCTTCACGATGATGCGTTTTTGCTGAAAAACAAATGAGCAGGCGAACCAACGGTGGCGGGTAATTGAAGATGAAGAACGAGATCAAAATGACCACGATAGCTCGTGTGCACCAGCAACAGTTCGGCGCGGAAAAAGCGCGATTTTAGCATCTTTTTGCGCTCACATTCATCTCACAGGGGTGTCATAAATTGATTTTGCGCCAGAAACAATGACGCGAGAAGCTAAAAACTTCTAAGTGTAAAAATAGGTACAGATTCCGAAAATGTCAGCTTCAAAAAGTCTATTTTTTTCGCAATTTTCGGCCTTCTAAAACCCGTGTCTCCGCTTAACCCTTTGATGATTTTTGCCATACATGTACGGCATTGCTTGCATGTTTAAAATGTGCACCTTTTATGTTCATTTCTTTTGCTTGGCATGGCTGCCATGCTTCTAGAATACACGATATTTTATCAAGCGCAAGTGTCTTTTCGTTGTTTGTTTGCTTCGCAAAGCGGTGCTGGCTACCGTTTGTGCATTCATGGTGTGGCTGGTTTAAAACGTGCGCATTTTTCGATCAATTCTCTTGCTTGGCTTGTGTTTGCCACACTTCGGAAATAAGTGGAATTTTTTTCGTGTGCCGATGTCTCTCTCTTTCATTTTCTTTTTCTGTTTCAAAGCGACGCGGAGAATTTCGGCTGCGCACCCGAATGCACACGCGCTGCGGCTGGTTTCGTCCATTGGGTGGTTATTGCTTCTAGCGCCCCCAAAGCTGATGGCTGTCTGTTTTCTAATCTCTCAAAGGGTGGCCAGGACTCTCGTTTATTGCTCCCCGGGGCGCAACTAGATCAGTTTCCATGCAGTGCTAAATTAACCAACAATGCCACCGTGGTTGCATTTCGTATTTTGAGGACTGAAAAATTAACTCTGTCGCATTGGTGATAACAGGAAGGACTACTGCAGCTTTTTTACTCATCTTGCTTTGTGGACAGGTGCGCAACCACACAGTTTTCTTCCATGTATTCACTGATGCAGTCCGCATACGCTGCAAGAGTTCACCGGTTGCTCTAGTGCTAGAGAGCTGAGCGGCGATTCTTCTGATGGGAACAATTCTCTCAGTTCCAAATCAAAATTAGGTTCCTTGGATTTGAGTTCGTCAAACGAGTTCAGACTTGCATGATGAAAGAGCAACATCTCAAAAGCGTGCGTGGTGAGATCATCCAGATCAAATCAAAGATGACTATTCTCCAGTGTTAAGTGTTGGAGCAGAGACATTTTTTCCGGAAAAGTACTCTAGTATGCTGGTTTTTATATGTCTGTGAGCTATGTTTAATACAAAGCATAACTTTCATTGATAGACAATTCTATAAGTGTATTTTTTTTTAATTTTGATTCATGTTGCTACAAATAAACCATCTGTGCTAACAATAAAAATGATTTTTTTCTGTCACTTTACGGCCCCACAAATATTTTTTTGACAATTTTGTTTCTTAAGTAAAATTGTCGGAAGAATTTATTTTAGCAATAAAAAAACTACACAATTTTGGACTGCATCTCACAAAAAAAATTCGCCCCTCAAAGGAGTAAAGGATCTGTTGCAACTAAAAACAAAGAGAAAAAAAAAATGTGACTGGTAATACACGCTGTGAAATAAAAGAAACCGCACATGTGATCCCAGAAAAGCAGTGTAGTTGCTCCACACAGAGAAAATGGCTGCTGTATTACGAAGCATAAAAAACTGAAAAGCAGTTCAGCAAAATTCTTCTAAGTGATGACCACATACAGTGGCAGCACACATTTTATGAAGGCATGGCATTTGAAGAGCTCTCAGATTCAACACAAGAGAAGTTAAGAAGTTCCTTGTGTTGAAGGCACTCACAGAAATGTTTAAAAAGACAGCTGCCCACTGCTTTATTCAAGTATGCAAGAACCCGAGTCCTATTTATAGCTGTTTCAGCAGCTTTCTCAAATATAACAATACTGAACGTCCTCGTGCTCGATAGTGACTAGACCACGAACCTGTAGTTTGGTGTCTGTACTTCATAAGAACCTCCGGAGCACGAAAACCAGAAGTTCCAGCACGAGGGGCAACTTCAGCTGGCCTGCACATTGTATTACAAACAAATGCATAGGTGCACATAAGCTCTTACACAAAAGTCTCCAAAAGTCACAGTGCACTCAAAATAAGGGTAAATATGTGGGAGAAGCATAGGAGTTACTCAAGAAGCAAACTAGCCAAAACTGCCGCAAATGCAAGGGAGCAATAGAAGCCAATTGATGCAAAATGATATTTGTTGAAAAAGTTTTTGATGGTACTTGCAGAACATACATGAATGCATTCATTCAATATTTATGGACTATTATTTGTCGACAATGGTTTGCCCTGTGCTTGCTCTAAGAGTAAAGATTGGGAAAGGGCACAATACACCTCCATTTCAGACAACACTAATCTGTTAAGCTACAACATGTCAACCTTCTGACACACCAAAAAGAAAGCACTCAAATCTGATTGCCAAAAAATACAGCTCTATTAATACAGCACAGTGCAACAGTTCCTGCTGACGAGCTGAAACTCACCACAACACAAAATCATGTGTGCTTGCTGCTCTAGGCAAACTGGGCTTACTCATTGCAAGACCGATCGAATGTGGGTGCTCACTGCACTGGCTAATACAGTAGCAATCTGTCAAGCATAAGAAGAAGGAGTCAAAGGATCTATGTATGTAACATGACTGGTTGTTGGCATGCAAGTTTCTACAGTGCCAATACTGGTGAATGTGTGCACGAGATGAATTGATGCCAGAAGAGAAAAGCACAGCTGTGCAGGATTGTAGCTTCTGCATGATAGCCCCACCTGCAACATGCTGCCAATAGGGGCAGCAGGTCTTGCAAATTGAGCCGGCAAATAATTGTTGCTAAATGCAAACTCAAAAAATGAGGAGTTGGAAGGCACCTTGATCTCCACAAATATCAGACACCAACGCATGTCCCTACTAAAGAACCAAGTGCACGGACAGGTTAAGCAACAGTGGAAAGCACTAAAAGAAGCCACAAGTACATAACCCTAGGACTCTATGTCAACAATAAAAAGAAAGACTAAATAAAACAATGGTTGTTATTTACAGTCGACTAGCACGAGACTCACGATGATACAATAAATATATGAACACCATTGAGCTTTCATTTACCCAAGTTTTTTAAGGTCACCAACACATTTTTCTGCAGCCTGAAAGTTGTCCTTTACAGTATACTTGTGATAATTGACATTCTGATGATTTAAACCTTTGGTTAATTCAAACAAATTTCAAATTTTTGGTTAGCATTGCTGCTTAATTGAAGCAGCTGCACCACATTCACTTAATTCATACTTTTCTCTTGTCCGTACCAAAATATATGTGCACTAATCATTTCTTGTTGACAAACAAAATAAAAAGAAAAAACTTGAGCAGTGATTGGCTTAGTTCTAAATCCTGCACTAAATACAGCTTCACGAAGGTGAAACCAGAGGAAAAGTGTAGCACAGGCAACCCAGCAATTCTCGTCAGTAGAGTTCCCACTGTTCCATTTAACAAACTGCCGATGATGACCTCAATGTTTAAGGTAAGCATCTAGGTATTCCCTCGCATGAGTGGAATCTAGTTATGCAGATTTGCAAGCTCTGTGTGCCACGTGTATGCTACTTTTTGCTACATTTTACTGCAATTCTTGCTAGTTACAGCAGTTGAGATACATGAGATCTGCAGCGAGTTCCATCAGGTTGTATCCCCTTCAAACATGGCACAGGATAAGCTCTGGTGTCTCTCGCAGGAGCAATCGTACACATGGTGAAGTGGTGGCACCCACTCGTGCGGTGAGGGTGTCAGCTGGATGCTTCCAGAGTGTTTTTAGCAATTAAATGTTAATTATATAGTTATTGCAATTTCTTGGATGTCTGTGTTAATTATATTATTTTAGACCACATTCATTATATTGAACATAGTTTTGAGTATTGCTAGACTTATTTTAGGTCTTATTCACCACATGATTGCACGCGTGACAACGCCACATGATATTAGTAAATGGACGACAAGCAGGGCACCTAAAGTGCTATGCACTTAAAAATCGGGAGGGTGTAGTGTTGATACATCACATCCGAAGCGTTAGAGCAACTCTCGCCACAGTATAGTAGCGTCATCCAGAAAAGCACTATAAGATGGCTACCAGCCGTGATGGGACATAGCCTATTTTGTACTTAATTGCTTGCCGGTACCATATTATAACGAGTATCAGTATGACTGCACTGATGCCTAAAAACATTACTGGCAGTCGTTTCAGGCTATCTATCACCATGCTTCAGTGCCCCCCCCCCCTTCACCCCAACCCCCACACACACATTTTCAGAATCTCTCGAATTAAGAGGTACCTGTGTTGGTACGTACCACATTGTCTTGCGTTTAACCCACACAAAATATACAGTACTTTAGGAGCTTCAGTTGGGACGCCAGTTTATGCGAACTGTGGGGTGCAAATTGGCCTCATGACACTACTTTGCACTGATGCAAAAAAGGCGGCTTCATGGCAATGTGTACAGATTTTTTTTTATTAATCTTGTTTTTCCATGATTTGTAGTTAATAGTGCAGCTTATGCAGGCTGAGTTATATGCAAAAAAAAACTCCCAAGCATTTCCCGAGAATGAACATGGTTAAGTGCGAATGCACGGGGTGATGCTATGAGGGGGAGTAAAGTTGAAATCCGTCGGCATTCGCCAGTGAGTTAACGTGAACTCCCCAGTGTGATCACATTGCGATTCCCAGGAACCATTAGACCCTCTCGGGAAATCTTGGTGAGTTTACGCGTGTATGTGAGAGCAAATTCGCACTATAATGATGTTTATGTCCGTGGCCCGCTTCGCCCGCTTGCGCTCGGCATCACGGGCCCTTCGCCGCGCTGCCTTGTCTTCAACCGGCGCGACATTTTCAAAGACGTGTACAACGCTCGCATTCGATTGCGTTGTACTCATTGTTGGAGGTATCGCAGTCGAGGTTGATGCCTGCGATGGATCTATACCTATGACTTGCCGATCTCGAGCAAGCCTGCGCAGCCACGAAGCCGAGGACGGAGCGCGCGCAATCACGTGGTGTGCGACGTCACTGCGCCGTTGCTACATACGCTCCTCTCCGCTCCTTGCGCCGTTGCTAGGGGAGAGGAGGAGGCGCACCGCGGACGGCGGATTCAGGGTCACTTATAAAGTGCATTCGCGCTTAAAAATGTGGTATGTATGTACTTGTGAATGCTTCAGAACAAGGCGAATTGGTATGTTGCCCCATGTTTTATTTACAAGAACAAAATTCTACAGTCCCCTGAAGTATAAATCATCGAGAGCCTACTGCATACTCCTCGTGCACTGGTGACCTCCAACTTTGCTTACAGTGAACTCTTACTCCATTGAACCATAGCCTGCATGGCTTTCACAGAATAACGAAGTTCGAGACAGCTGCTTTGAGAGAAGATTCAGACTTACTTATTTTCACAAAATTAATTGATTTGGCCAGTCCACCGACTTCACAAAATTAATTGATTTGGCCAGTCCACCGACTTCCGCACACTTTATACCACCTCAAAAAATTATAGCTTCCTTTCGCACTTCCACAAGCTCCGCAGTTAGCACCCATGCATAAGGACTGGAAAAACTATAGCATTAGGTAGAGTTATATTAGCATTTAGCACCTATGCATAAGAACTAGAAAAACTATAGCATTAGCTAAAGTTATTTTAGTTTTAAGACCTAACGTTAATCTCCGTCTTTCATAATCTTTTGAATCCATCAATTGCTGCCTTACCTAGTACAATTTTTAGGTGAATTTTTTCAATAAAGGTAAAATTATCTGACAATGTATGAGCTGTAATGGGACCTTGCTTGTGCTGTACTGCGATGGAGACAGACACTGGACAAGCCTGGACCCTAAGGTGCTTTGCCCCTTTAAAAAAATACTTTTTATTTAAATATTATAAGACCTTAATAAAACAGATGACATGATGGCAGACGTCCTAGTTGACACTTTTCATCGAAGCAACACATTTTTCAATAAAATCTAAGGGCCCTTTGCAGACAGTTCCTTCCCCAACGCCATAAACATGAAGAAGACTGCTTTTACGAGAGCAAGTTGGCAATTATCTACACTTCTGTATTACCTTTCCTGATATTGCACAGTTCGTCTTCTGTTCTTGCTATTTTGTTGTCATACTGTTGTGGTAACGCTGTAAAAGTTTGACCTTAATTCCTTCATTTTTCTTCTGTTGCTGATATACCTTAGCTGCTTCACTTGAAGTTTGCATTCATGAAGAACAACGAGTAGAAATTCATTTCCTCTGGTCCAAGGGTGTCAGAGGTCGAAACATTCATCACAGACCCTCGCAATATAGGAGAAGTGCACTATCACGTAAAACTGCATTTTTGGGGTTCTGCAATTTGAAACAATCACAAGCGATACACCACAAACACCAAGATTTATTGTATCATGACAACGCATGGCCACACAGGGCTTTGTGAAACCATCAACAAGATAAAATTTGAGTTACTGGAACACACTTCATACAGCCCAGACCTAGCTCCATGCAACTTGCGTTTTTTGGACTCCTCAAGGATGCTTTTCATGGTCACCATTGCCTCAGATTTAGAGGGACAAAATGCGGTGTGAAAGTGGCTTACTGACCAACGGAAAACATTTTATTTTGAAACAATACATAAGCTCGTTGACCATTAGGCCAAGTGCATTGATAAAGAGATTACGTAGAAAAATGATGTGCATAGTACTGCTCTAACATGTTAATAAACTGTAGAATGAAAAGTGTAGACAATGTTTTACTTTCCCTCGTACCTTAAGATTTCTCTATGTGTTCAGTTCTGAGGAATCTATACAATAATGCGTGCTGCTCGTTCCACAAAGTTATTGCAAGGAGACCGAACAGCATGTCCTTACAGGATTGCGCACGTGGCCACTACTGGTGGTGGTCCTGAATGTCCTAGTGCTGCAGTGCTACCATATCGGCTGTCAAAGCCTATAGCAAAACTCTTCCCCACAATTATGTCCCATCAGGGCAAGTGTCCAATGCTTTGCAACA